CACTTTGTCCTCCTGAAAGGAATTTCACTGAAAACAGAGCCCGGCATTGAACCGGATGCAAACATAAAGGAAGAGGAAAAAGATGAGAAAAAAGAGAAGGAGGAAAAGAAAGAAAAGGACATTATAAAGAAAGAGGAGAAAGACAGAGAGAGAGAAAAGGAGAAGGAGAGAGAGCGGCCGACCCGGAGCAGCAGCAGCAGCGGAGTGAAGGAGGAAAGGGAGAAGCCGGGTGTCAGCAGCCAGCCGGAGGAGACGGGCGGAGATCGGCTCGCTGTGATTGGAGGATCCAAGAGGAAAGAGATGGAGCAGCTGAAGATCGTCCGAACAGAACTAAAGTACGTTTGGAAAGTTGTATTCATCATCAGTCTTGTGTTGTATGTACAGTCTGCATGCAGAATTCTGACTGTAGCTGGATTTTTAGTGAAACTTAAAATTTCTTCCCAATATGCATCTGTAACTTTGTAGGAAAGCCCAGGAGTCCCAGAGAGAGATGAAGCTCCTACTGGACATGTATCGATCTGCACCGAAGGAGCAGAGAGACAAAGTCCAGCTCATGGCTGCAGAGAAAAAGACCAAGTCAGAGGTGATCATAATCCTTGATCTGTTTTAATTGTTGTAAAACATGTGTACCAGTTAGTCTGGATATTTTTCTTAGTTATGCAAAAAAAAGAAGCGTTTGTTGAATACATCTCCTCTTTATTGCAGGCAGAGGAGCTTCGACAGAGGCTGCGGGAGCTGGAGGAGAGGGAGAGAAGAGAAGGCAAGAAAATGGCGGATGAAGAAGCTCTGAGAAAAATACGTTCAGTAGAAGAACAGATAGATATCCTCAACAAGAAGCTGTCCATCGCCAAACAGGTCCGACCTCCTCCAGGCCGTTCGCGAGCTTTCTGCCCGGTTCTCTTTTTGTCTATCTCACATTTCTCTGCAAAACCCTTCAGGAGGAAGACGCGCTGCTGAGCGAGATGGACGTGACGGGCCAAGCCTTTGAGGACATGCAGGAACAAAATATCCGCCTCATGCAGCAGCTCCGAGAAAAAGATGACGCCAACTTCAAGCTGATGAGCGAGCGGATCAAGTCCAACCAGATCCACAAGCTTCTGAAGGAGGAAAAGGAAGAGCTGGCCGACCAACTCCTCACCTTGAAAACTCAGGTTCAGCATGAACCTTTTTATCTCATCTCAAATAAAAAGATGCTTTTATTTATATTTATTGAGCACTTTATAGTAACGCAGTCAAGGCCTTGTTGGTCCCTAATAGTCTACTATTGACAAATTTTTGTGAGATCAATTTACTGTCATCGTTTTCATTTGGTTTTAACTTAAATTATGTTTGAGGGTTATTAGATTCTTTCGGACTTATTTGTTATGGTTGTGATTGACAGGTGGATGCACAGCTGCAGGTGGTCAGGAAGCTGGAGGAGAAGGAGCGCCTCCTGCAGGGCACAATTAGTACCGCAGAAAGGGAGCTGACACTTCGAACACAAGCTTTGGACATGAACAAACGAAAGGTAATATGTTGATCAGAAACTGATCGAATAAATCCTGGTTTAAAAAAAAACAACACACGAGTTTTAAGTTGGAACGACGTGTGTCGGGGCTGCAGGCTCAGGAGTCTGCGCTGCTGTCAGAGGAGCTGCGAGCGCAGCTGGAGCAGGTTCAGCAGAAGCTGAAGCTGGTCAGAGAGGAGGTGGTCGAGAACAGCATCTCCAGAGAGAAAGAGTCCTTCAACGCCCGGCGAGCGCAGGTAGCAACACACACAAGGCTAAACCTGCACTCAAGTCTGTCATTGTCTTCATTACAAATTATGAATTTAATAACAATAACATGAAGTTTTTATTTTAATTTTGTCGCTACTTGAAATAAATGATGACAAGTAACTGTAGATTGTTTCAAAAATAAATTCCAGCATCAATTCGCTGTTGCTGATTATAATGAGAAGCTTTTGTTGGGGTAGGATAACATGGTTTAAATTAAATAGCCTCTATTTAATTTAACAATGTAAAAAAAAAAGAAGTATAAAAAAAAATCCCTATATTTGACTATAGATCTAAGTCTGTTTCAGGTTGAGCCTGAAAATGACAGATGATGAAAGGAGCTACTTCACTGCACCAGCTGAGTTAATTGGTGCAATCAGTTTCTGAAATGTAAACACAGCTGTTACTGATGCGCTCAGCTCAGCGCAGCGCTCCCTGATATATCGCCCATCTGTAGAGTTTGCAAACATCAACACAGGTTATCAGCACTGCTGGATAACTACTATTAATCTTTCAATTTAAAAGAAGACATTGTGTGAACTGTTTTCAAGGGAGACACATATACAGTATTTTATGTTTCAGATGTAAAATCCTTTTCAGTTTTGGGAAGACTGTTCTGCAGATTCTTTGCTGTCTAAATTTTCTCAGTTTTGCGCAAAACCGAAATACTAACACGTCGAGAAGCGAGGGATTTTATAATAGCTATTCATAAAATGAGACGCTTGGGCGCCACGTGGCCCAGATCAGGAGCAGTCATCTGTGTTTTGGTGTTGGACAAACAATTTTAACCAGGATCTTTTTGCTGCATGTCTTCCACCTTTCTTGGCAAGTTTTTTTTTTTTTTTTTTTTTTTTTTTATTAGTCACGTAATCCTTTTTTTTTTGTGTGCAATATGATTTTTTTTATTTTTTTTATGACATCTGAAATTATTTTAAAATAGTTTTTTTTTTATTCAAATGGTTTAATCCTAAATGTCCCAATTCCTAAGCATGTCTATTTCATTTAATTATTTATTCAATTTTAATTTTATTTATTTATTATCATTTATCATCTCATCCTGTTATTTTATCTTCTAATCAGTGATTATTGTATTTGTACTGCTAGGAGTGTAAGCTCTTCTTTTATACCAGAAGATGCAGGTCATTCTGCGCCTGGCTTTTCAGTAGATTTTTTTTTCCCCCCTCACAGTCGATTGTTTTTCAGGAGGATATCTCCAAGCTAAGGAGAAAGATTGAAAAAGCCAAGAAACCAGCTGAGAAGATCAGCAATGGAGATGAAATCCTGAACGAAGAAATTAATGAGTACAAGGTATGTAAATGGGGCATAAAAAATGGAAAGCTTATATTTATTACAATCTTGCGCTTGAATAAAACATGTGACATAAATACAGATGAATAGCCTTCAAGTCAAATTTCTTTTTCTTCATAACACCAGCCACATTTTGAAATACTTTAATATTTTGATGGTCAGATTTTCCTAACATTTCCCTGTAAATGAGTCAGTAGTTTTGTGTAATTATGACAAGTCTGAATGATTTGTCAAAGCCTTGTTTACAAGATTTATTAGTCAGCTAAAACAACAAAGCCCTAGCTGGTTGCCTTCATTTTTAAACCACTCAGCCAAGAACCTTAATGGCCTCCATGTTCACTATTGAAGACATTTCCTCCTCTTCTTCCCCTTCCTCCTCCAGGCTCGTCTAACGTGCCCGTGCTGCAACTCCCGGGTGAAGGACGCCGTCCTGACAAAATGCTTCCACGTCTTCTGCTTCGAGTGCGTCAAGACGCGCTACGACACTCGGCAGAGGAAGTGCCCCAAGTGCAACGCCGCCTTCGGGGCGAATGACTTCCATCGCATTTACATCGGCTGAATCCACCAACTCTGCCCTCCTCCAGTCGGGATGAGTAGGAGCCATTGCCTGAAGCAAGAGTCAGCTCTGCAATCATGTGGTCCAGCCTTTCAACGGGTATTAAGTGCAGCCACAGGATGAATTCAGTGATGCTCCAAGTGGGAGACTTTATGAAAAGGTTTTATTCCCCCACAATGACTGAAACATTCCCATCCAATATCCACTACTACGCTGATGTTCTCTGGTGCAGAAGGAATGGTTTTATACTGAGTGTCGCGTGTTTGTTTGCTTGCTTCTAAAAACAGCATGTGAAAGCAGTGGATGAAAAACTGCAGTGAAAAAAAATCATTTCTCTTAGTGTTGTTTATATGAAGTGTCTCTTTTTCTTGTACATTTCTTCTTTTTTGTATTAGAAATGATCATCTTCTTGCCTCTGAATTCTTTAACATTTCCCTGTTGCTGTGATGTATTTTGATGTTCAGCTACTTATTAAACTGATCAAATGTGTGCTTGTGATTCCAGCTCCTAACCTTCCACGGCGTAGCTTACACTCTACAGTGGGCAGATTATCCAAAGCAGACTGTAGGTGTTGATGTGTGCTTGCATAGAAGCCATTTTATCAAGGGCGATGGCTATCGTGAAATTGTTTTTGTATCTTTTACGATAGTATTCCTGCATGTGTGAGAAGTCCTCGCTCACATCTCCCATGGCAGCTGTCTGGGGCTGCCTAAATGTGCTGCTAATCTCCCTCTTGAGCTCCTCCAGACTAGCAGCAGCAGCAGTTAGCAAACACCTGGTGGAACTGCACATCTGGTGTCATCATGTGAACTACTTCTCAGTGCAAAGCTAAGAAGAACGGCTGTAAACGGCATAATGAGAAGTCTTGTGAGGATACTCTGAAGGCTGACAAGGGTAGGAGCTTCTTAAAGAGACAGAGGCCCAATTTCAAGGTGCCAATTTTCTTCTAAGTTATGTTAAAAACAGACGGAAGGTGAAGTAGTTACTTGTTTGTCCTGGAAAATGGGCGCTGTAAGCGTTAGTTCAGACACTGTCCTCTACTGGCCAATCAGTGTTGGGTCGCAAAATGATCAACCCTGTAATGAGTTAGTTGTTGGATTGACTCTTATTTGACAAGTTAAAACGTTTATTATACGTTATGACTACTTTGTAGCAAAAAAAAAAAAACATCCTTGTTGGTGAATGAATAGATCACTCTCACTGTCTATAATCTATCGTGGCTTTTTGCAGCACGTGGCAACAGGACTTCAAAGGAAGATCGTGGAGCTCACACTTCCTGATCACACAAGAAAGAGCTGGAGCCCAGATCGACGAGCAGTCCTCACGTTTGACTTTGTGTGCGTTAAACCACAAGTCCCAGTGTGCAAATCTCTATTTATCCCTGCGCTGCAGCGCTCTCCTCCCCCTCTCCTGCCTCCTCCTCCCTGAAGATCCAGGCGTGTTTTCTCGTTGGAAACGGTGGTTAGAATCGCTTGAAGGAAGGGAGTGGAGCTCGGGAAGGTGTTTCTCTTTTATCCGTGAGCGATCGAGCGACATAATCCATCGCAGTTGACCCGTTTGACGCAGGAAACGGGGACACAAGGAGCCGCGAAGCCTCGCCGGAGCCCAAATAAGAAGCTTTAGGTTCACACGGGTTCGCCGCGTCGCTCCCGTTTTTCTCATAAATCTCCCAGCGAGAGGAAGCCCTTTCACGTATTTCCGCTGCATTTTTTTTTCATTCAATTTTTTCTCCTGTGTGAACCGCTGCGTCCTGACTGCAGATCGTGCGCTTGGACCCCCTGCTGGAAAAGCCTTTCAACACCAAATATAGCCGCTGTTAATGCAGGGTCTCTGTGGATCAGGTTCTGGATAATTTGATTTAATTTGAGGGGATTTCGTCTAATTTCGCCGATCACTTGATGATCGGGACCGGGTTTTCTCACGTTCTCCCGCTTTGAGACGCACGTCTGAAGCCCGCTCCGACTGCTCCTCACAGAAGCCATTTTTGATTAAACGTTTTTGATTTCCGAGCCTGCCTGAAGCTCCCCGAGCTGCTCCAGGCTGCAGCGCAAAAACCTGTGCGCGCACATCTTGGCACGCCGCGTCCACACCCATCCCCATTGTTCTCCGACAGGGCCATGGCTCGGGTTTGGTTGTCCGTCGCTGCGCTGGCTCTCGGCGCGTCGCTGTGCTGGGCCGGGGGCCAGCAGGCCAAGGCGGAGAGCCCGTCGGTGGTCACCCTGCGCACCATCATCACGGGGACCTGCCAGGAGATCCAGCGGTACGCGGAGTCGCTGGTGGGAGCAGGAGTGATCCGCTCAGCTGCTGAGGTACAGGAGGAGCCGCAGCACACCATTATACACTCTCTCTCTCTATCTTTTTGTCTCTTCGCAAATGCTTGCTTTTTCTTTCATTCTTAATAACTCAGCTGTAATATTCTTGATAAAAAACAAAAAACAAAACTGATTTACTAATTTTCAGCTGTCACTTCTTCTCTTCATCCTTCACGCTCATCCCTCTCTCCATGCTCCCTCAACTTCCTAATCCTTCTCCTGATCCCCTCAACCTCCATGTGACCCATTCACCCATGCACACACATAAATTCCCACACCATGACCCTTCACCCACCATGCTGTGGCTCCCTTCTCTTCAGAGTGCTGTGTTGTATCTTGAATCAGTGATGGGTCAGGAGAACGTCCAAACCTTGGCTATGGTAAGAAAACTCCTAAACACTCTGGTTCCAACTTTGTAAGTGGTGCCACCAAGGGAGGAAGGGGGAGGTCAAGTGGCAAAGGTCAATCCTGTGAACTTGCTGATATCCAGTTGTCTATTTAAGAGAGGGAAGTGTAAGCTTTGCTAACTTGCAATATATATATTTTTTCATGGATCCATTTTTAAAAATCTATTACTTACTTCTGACTACTCTTTCATATGAAATATGATCTCATAGTTAGGGCTGAAATAGAAAGATTTAGAGTATTTAGCCACACATATGTTTGTGGGCATCGAGATTTTTGTTTTTCTTTAAATTTCAAGTTCTGCCGCAGCAGCCTGTTTTAATAAAACGACTAAAGCTCTGTCAGGGAGTTTCAGTCCATGGCAACCTTTCACATGACTCTGGGGTTGCCACTGAAACTTTGGAGCTTAGCCCAAGCAACACCTGTAGTGGAAGCAAAATGGCCTCTGTGAAGTCATCGCCACCTCATTTGCGATATTTGCATGTGAGCCTGCAGCCTCTCTCCCTGCTGTGAGCTTGTGAAGATACAATTTTTTTGTTTTTATGTGTTGCGAGATAATAAGTTGCTCACTCTGACTCAGTTGGCAGATCTCAGAATGTAAAAATCCAGGGTGTACGCGCACCCAATCCCTGGCAGGAAAACAGCCTCGTTATGCAACCAAGAACAACAACAACAACAAAAAAGCAAAACAACATCTCTCCAACTGAACCTGGATAAGCGAAGGTTTTTGAGTAATAATAGCAAACACAACAGCTCTGCATGCAGCTCTGACTCAGCGCAAGTAAACATAATGTAGCAGAGCCACTTCAAGGTCTGACAGATAAAGTTACTGTATTCAATTCAAGCCTTTCTGCTCTGCCTCACATCAGCTTTTGATATATTATTAGTATCATACGTTGTGTCCTTTTGTTGATATAAAGCCTTCCTCTGGAGTTTGCACAAGCATTCCTCCAACATTATGGCTACAGTGCCATCCATCCTCCCATGCAACCCACTGTAAAGCCACACTGTGACATTAAGTGTCAGATGTTAGGACTTGTGCTAACACTGCAGACGGTCCATGTGTTACTGTGCAGTGCAACAGGTGCAGATAAGAGCCCCCCTCCCCCATCCCACCCTCAGTCCATCTGACCAGGATACCCTTGAGCTTACAGGGTCACACTGTGCTGCATCTGATTCTGGTGTGAGGAGACACTGTATATGAATAGAGAGGGATTCCTCCCAGCTGTCTCTCCTATCATGAGGAGCAGCACCTCAAGGCCTCTTGCTTTATGGGCTTGTGCCAACTGCTGCTGTAAATCTCTGTCTCGGCGTGATTAACGTCTCTGTGGCTGGCTGTATCGCCTCTTTGTTTTGCCCCTACTTGATCAGAATGCTGTCCATCCTCTTTGCTGCAAGAACAACGTGAAGCATGCCTCTCACTCTTCCCCTTCTCTCTCCTTCCCGTCTCCGCCATAGTTTCTGTCGACCGCAATCCGATTCTTGGCTGAGGGAGCGGCCAGCGGCCTGAACGTCATCGCCGTTTACGTCACCGAGATCCTCAGAGTCACAGGATTTGATGGTGGGTACCAGGATTGTTTGCAGCTGAGACACTGAGTCTGTGTTTACACTTTGCTGCTTTCTCAGCTTCGGTGTGTCGCTGATTACATTTTGCATGCTGCAGTGTGATAAGTGTTTGCGCCAATCAGAGTAGATCTTAAGAGAAAGTCTGCAGCTGGACCTGTGGGCAGTCCGGCTGCCACACCTTTTTAGGTGTGAGTGTCGGTCCTGCTTTTTCCAGAACAAATAAATATCAAACCCTAAAACGGATTGCTTGTCTTCACAGTTGCAACGTTGCCACGCTTCACCCCAGAGGGCGTGACCACCGTTGCCCAGTGGGGTCTGGTGGGCCTCATCGCCTACTGGATTCTGACCATCCTTCTCCGTTTGCTGATTGGCGTCTTCAAGCAGCTGTTCTGGGTCGTGAAAACGGTTTTGGCTCTCTGGCTTTTCGGCCTGATCGTCACTGACAAGCACGCCTCCGCAGAGACGACAGCGATTCGAGTGGGAGTCCTGGTGCTGGTGGTCGTCCTGCTGACTCTGTTCACTTCAAGCTCCGAGAAGACTTCCGGTTTGGAGAGCCGGCTTAACAAACTGGAGGGGCGGCTGAGGGCAGTGGAGAGGAGGAAAGAGGAGTAGAGTGGGGCGAAGGTGGCGTTCATGCTGGTGGGGAGAAGTGGCAACATTTAACGATTTCTACATTTGTGACAACTTTGAAAAATAAAGTTATCTCTGAGATTTTTAATCAGAAATGTCCCTTTTTCCACTTTCAGATAAGAAATTGAATTTAAAACATATTGTAAATGTGGAGATCATTGAACCTATTCATGTCTCAAAGTAACAGGTAACTTAAAGATAAAGCCCAACCGCATTCTTACAAAGCTAAACTACAAGTGAACTGCAGCAATGATAGTTTCACAGATTAAAGTACTTTGCATGTTATTGAGTACAGAAAGTTGACAAATTTGCACTGTACACTAAGTCATAAACCATGATTCAAAGGGCTATATGAGTTGAAAAGAAAAATATAACTTATAAACATAATTGTGCATTTTAGAGATATGGTAAAATGCAAACCACAAAAAATAAAGACAATAGAATGAAATGAAAGGGTAATCCTGGACTTTTAGCAGAAACCTGCAGTAAATAGAAATGTATTCAGTCAAAACTTAAAGATCCTTCAGCTTTTCAGGAAGTCCATTCCAAGACCAGCGCCAGCAGATTAAAGGAGTAATGTGTCTGGTAATGTTTTCGAGGAAGTGGTGTGCAGATTTATTAACATGCATTATATGTTACATTTTTAAACTTTTGTTTAACTAAAATGTGATGCACGCAAAGCAGTCAGTTGAGATGCGATGAGTGTACCGCTTTCTTTCTCTCCGTCTGAGTCAGATGCAAAGGTTACAATTTTACTGGCCTCAGTTTTGTCCAAAGCAACCAATCAACAGCATACCTTTCCCTGCTACATCTTCCAGAATAAAATGTATCTTTCATATTAAATTAGAAAACTAAAATGAAATGTAAGCAATCTTATAGATGTAGATACATTTGCTTTCACAGTTTTGCGAGAAATAGACACAATGGATCAAATAAAAACTTCTCAGGGTTTCATTTAGCCTGAAGAAACAACACTTACTAGTTTCAGAAGATTTTTTAATTTTTTTTTACACAATAAACTGACAAATTTAAATATCTGCGAATGCAACTCAAACGTCTTAAAATAACTTGATTGTTGGGTTAAATACTGCACTCCGGTCAGGAAACGTTGCAAAGACCTTTTAATCTTTTTTAATGCACTCATGACACAGCTTTAACACAGAGTGCAGCAAATAGGTACTGCTGTGTTCAGACTCCACAGTTTGTTGAAAATATGTGCAGAGATAAAGAACTATAAAGCGAAAGAAAAACTCAAACTTTGTGCAGCGTCCGCTAGAAGTCGACAACTTCCTCGAGGTTTTCCCTTTCAGAGGCTTATTGCTTACCTTTTTCATCAAATCTAAAAGTTTTGACATGCGTCGGATTTTTCCCCAGTTGGAACGTCACGTTTAACTTCCTTGTAGATGTGTTGAAATAAAGCTGAAGAATGTGGATCTCAGCTGTGTGAAATGAGGAAGTGCCACAGCTATGAAAAGAGTCCCACAGCATGCTTATCTGTTGCTACAGCATTCTTAGGTTTAAAAACCTCACCTTGAATAATTTAAATATTTTTCTTGTATGGATGGATGTGTTAAATTATCTTTTATCCCATCTCATCAAACGGTTAGGTTTTATTATTGGGAGTCAAAATTTAATATATATATTTATGTCCAAGTTGATTGTTCGTGACCAAAACAAGTAGAAAATATGTGAGATTTCCATCAAAGCTTTCAAGCAAGAAAAAAATGGGACAATTTAAGATCATTTTAAAAGTGCCAAAAGTATCCAAACCAACGAGATCTCAGCAAGATGAGAAAAAATGTCTGATAATCAAATCATTAATATACTAAAAGATTCTAAAGACAAATAGTTACCATTTTGTATTTAGACAAGAAAGTGTTGAACATTGATTATAGAGGGAATGAATTCACATGCAGACTTTGAAGAAACTAATCAGGCACAGACGTCACTAGGCAAAGTTCATGTTGAGGGAAACTGCATGAAATCCTCCAGAATTCTACCGAAAACTTGCATGGATTCTTATCAGCTAATTATGTTTTGATTTTTACATGACAAAACTAAACGATTGTTTTAACTGTTGAGGCTGGCGCTGAAGGGATATAACATAAATAAACATGAGTATGTGCTACATATTGGGAGATTTGGATTTCAGACTTTTGCATAAGAAACTGGAACAAATATGTTCATAGACGTCATTTTTTATGATGACACAGTTGGAGCTTGAAATGAAAGGGACCCATAAGGGCTGGTGGAAAGGTTTATGTTTTGTTTGTTCTTCATGTCGGTGTGATAACTCACATCTTTTGACATGTCCTGCAATATAGTGCCAAGTAGCATGTTTGAATGGCATTTAATTCAGTAAAGTGAAATGTACATAGTGTGTTGAGATGCAATAATGTCTTGCAGCTTAGAAAAATCAGTAGTATGTCTGAGAGCTTCTGCTGCCAGTTTACAACAGAACCCCTGTAAACTAGGTGGTTCACAAAAAGCTAAGTGTCTTCCCTTCGTTTAAGGCTTAAAACGTTTGGCCTCAACTGTGACCTAGTTTGCGTGCATGCCTGTGTCAGTTGTGGTACTGGTGGGATGACCAGAGAGGGTGGGGTGTTGCTCAGAACTGGGTTGGTGCTTGGGTGGAGGAGGCTCATCTGCAGAGGCACAGTTTGCTACTTTTGCATTAGAGGCCATCATTGGTACAGTTTAAAATGTTGGAGGCAGTCTGGTGGTTTCCCTGGAGCAGAGCAACATGTAGGAGCGCCTGAAGTTACTGCAAAGAACACTGTGCTGCTTTCTGACTAGTTTTAATTAGCATCAACTCATTTTACTAGACGGTACTTATTTGAACATAATTTCAGTCAAGTGCACATTGTTTTGTTATAAAGTTTTTATATTGTAATTCGTATTAATGATAGGATGTTCATGAATAAAGTACACAAAGTACAAGAGGTGGAAAATTGATATATGAAGTTTACTTTCTTTCTATTAACTATACAACAAGACACCTTAATGCAAAAATAGTACTTTATCTTTTTGATACAGTATTTCTCTTTGGTCCTATTTAATGTTAAGCCAGATTTAAATAGAAAATAGGTGAAATCTGGTCACTCCTACATGCATATTTAGGTGTTGTTGAAATCTCCAGCTCTGACTAAGGAGAGGTGGTGAGAGTAGCAAAAGATTGTACTCAAGTAGACATAGTTAAAACTTCATATTTTCACTTAACCAAAAGTAAAACACAGTCATTCAATGAATTACTCAAGAAGGAGCACAATGTGTTTTAGTATCTGCTAAAAGAACTGAGTAGCAGTTCATAAGATCTTATTTATATTTTGTATTAAAATAATTAAAAATGTTCCACAAAATAAAGCTTTTAGAGACATGAGATCAAATATGTAATTTGGAATTTGTCTGCATTTCACATGTAATTCTAGGGTTTAACAAAGTAAAGCTCTAATTTTTAAAGGAATCGCAATAATCATCTCAATATTAAATACTGCAACCGCAGCAGACTGCTTTAACATTTTTAATCACATATTACTTTTCAAATCTTCCACATTCATATTGTGTAAATACTGCCATTCGTTCTGATCCCCACAACTTGTTGTTTTTCGGTGACTAAGATGAGGGAGGGGCGATGATGGAAAAGAAAGGTTTGAAAAAGTTTGAGGTAACATTCAGTAAAAATTTAGCAATTAAAATAAAGAGTTTGCATACAATATTTTCATTGTTTGTCACATTAAAGTCAGTCATTTTAGTCAAAACCTGTCACTTTGTAAATTTATTTTTCAAACTTTCTTGGGGGAAAATGACTTTTTGAATAAACATTTTTGTTCGATTGTCAAAAAACACAATATTCTCTCTAGTTTTTATACTTGAGACATATCAGTGTGCATGAGGAAACAAATGGCCAAGTGTTTTAAGAAAATACGCAAGAACTACTTTGACAATCCTGATTTAAATTTATGTTGAGTGCTGCATCAAAATGCTTACTACAATAAAGACAGGGAATCCAGCTACTCCATACTCCATGCTTGTAAAATAAGTAAATAAACTGAGAGGCCATCTCTGTGTTGCATTTAAGTGCTTGTATGGAACAATGCCAAAGTAACTTGCCCAATGACGAAAAAATACGTAAATAGTCAAATTAAAGTGATGCTTTCAGGTTGGATCAAAGACTCGCTGGAAAATAGCAAATATTGCATTTAATAATGTTTATTTAAATAGTAATAACAATGTAATCACAGCTGTGTTACACTCACATCTTAGCAGCAGAGTTCATCCTTCTGTAGATTTACCTTTTTTTTTTATTTGGTTTAATTAAGTTAGATAAATATGTGTTGGATCAAATTGAAACGTTTACAAATCTACATAGACATACAATCTACAAATTGAACAGAAAGTTTTGGATTCTTTCTTATAAAAATTATTAAATGTGGTGCTTTTATTTGGCTAAACGTTTAAGGACAATAACAGGGAGGGACTATTCCAATAGGCAATAAAGTGTCTCTAATATCGCAATAAATCAATCATTGATGTGTTTGTATTTCAGTCAGAACTTAGGAAACTTTCTTTCCTAAATTCCAATACTTTTTTTTAAGGCAGCAATTGAATCACTTAAGTTTTTAAGTTGAACCACTCAATAATTTCATAATCATTTTGTAAGTAGATACATTTCTATATTCACACAAACTCTAAAATCTTTAATGGTGATTTTCACTTTGTTGAAAGTGAAAATGAAGTCATTTAACGTAGCAACAAGTTTCAAAGAACAATAATGTACAGACATGAATTGGGTTGGTGTTGTACAAGAAAACAGAGTATGGTAAGAAAAATAAACAGCGCCAATTAATCCTAACATCAAAAAGTCTCAGAGAAAGTGGTGTCTGCAGCAAAAAAAAAAAAAACAAAAAGACCCAAAAACAAATAGAAAATCTGTAACAAGAGTAAAAATCAGCATCTCCCCTCCTTTAGGAGCATTTGTGATATAATGTTTTCTTTTAAATAGTCTTTGAGATGCATTTATGTAACTGTTAATATGGCAGTTTAAAGATAATGTTTTTGTTTTTTTTTACCTGAGAAAATACAATTTAAAAGTAAAAATTCAATGCAATTTCATTACATTTATCAGTGCACATATATATATATATATATATATAAATATCTAAACTATTTCATAGCTCATGCATCAATTATATTAGCGATTTACAACCTTTTTTTTCTGAAAGTCCTGTTCTTGTCTTTAAAGATCATACCCAATGCTAGCAATTTTTTTCTAATCTAAGGTAAAAAGCTCCATGTTTGACATTTTCTCTGATTGTGTTTTTCCAGCACACAAACTGATGCTGCATCTACTGGCTACCCTAATTGTAGTGATTCATTGTGTTCGCAGTGAATCAGATTTGCACTTGAAACACTTTACAGATGATATAAAGTTGATTACATTGTTTTTTTTTTAATTCTCTGGACTTGCCTTGTGAGATTTCTACTAAAAATAACAATATGTAAACAGAGTCTGGTGTCAGTGCACGCTTCAGGGGCGGACTGTCCATCGGGTGCACCAAAACATTTTCTGGTTGCCTTTTTTTCCCTTTGACATGAAATTAATTCTCAATAGGGAACAAAAATAACGCCACCCCGGTTGTGCTTGTGTATGCAATCCACTTCAAAAACTCTAAATTGACTATTTATAGAGTCCCATCTCCTTTAACCCTAAAATAAATGTCACAAGTAAGACGGTCGCACCAGCAGACCCGTGTTATTCTGCAAAATATGATATGCCATGTAAAATAACATGTAAACATCTGTGAGTGACATCAAAATGTGAGATTGCGCGACATGCATTTTCTGACAAGAGAGAGAAATGGATGATGCCGATATTTATCTTCTCCATCCTGCTTCAGTGGATTATGTGATCTCATACATTCATCACGTAACAACATACAAAAAGAAAGCACAAATCATTTTACTAAAATCTGACTACACTTTGATTGGAACACCTTCACCCTGTTAACTTTTACCTTTCAAATGCAAAAACTAAATGCACAACAAAATAAATTTCTAGTGGGTTCTTGATGCAGTCTTGGTGGCGCCATCTGTTGCAGCTGTAGCATGCAATTTTAAAATTGTATAGGGTAGATGGTAAAACTACTAAACTTGGAGAAATATTCTCATTGTTTTTTAGCTGCTATCTTTCTCTGCTTAATTTTATTTAACTACTTGAAACAATGTAGCTCCTTAACCCATCTTAAACATCTTAAACGATTGCACCAAATTCCCGGGGTGGATTATTGTCCCAGTCCGCCTTTGCATATACATGAATATATGTGATTTATGTCTTTTCATTCTAGGCAGCGTGGTCCCAGGATACTTAGAAGGCCTCTGGAGAACTTAAGCAGAAAAGTCTAGTAAAGGCTGAAACAGCTCCGTCAACACGGTGTTCAGAAAAGTGTTCACGAAAAGTTCAGCTTGTCCGACGTGTAGACATTACAGGTTGGAGCGTCTGAACTGAGAGGGGGAGCTGAGGGAAAAGCCAGTCCTTTCAGCTGGAATCTGGGCTCAGCGTCAGGGGAGATCACGTCGGAGCTGAACGTAGGAGCTCCTGCAGGTCCCTGAGACGCTGGAGGTCCAAACTGAAAACAGCAGTATTATCGAAAAGATAAAGCAGGAAAACAATTTAGTGTGAAATACCAAAAACTAACCTTAGATTTGCAACTGTGTATATGTACCTCAGAAAGGGGAGAATATAGACTAGGTTCAGGCTGTGGTGGGTTTACACTGGCAGGTTGTGGAGGATAGACACTGGCAGGTTGTGGAGGATAGACACTGGCAGGTTGTGGAGGATAGACACTGGCAGGTTGTGGAGGATAGACACTGGCAGGTTGTGGAGGATAGACACTGGCAGGTTGTGGAGGATAGACACTGGCAGGTTGTGGAGGATAGACACTGGCAGGTTGTGGAGGATAGATACTGGCAGGTTGTGGAGGGTACACAGCGGTGTTAGGCTGTGAAGGCTGCAGAACAAAAAATAAATAAATAACGAGTCACTACTGCAAAGATAAGAAAGATATGCAAAGATAAAAATAATAGAATAAATATCTATAAACAACAACAGGGATTTTTGTCCATTTTCAATTAATTAAATTAATTAGAGCAATGGTAATGATGTACATCTACTGGAAATGGCACCAGTTTTTTGGATGTTATTCTATTTTAATTCATTAATTAGGGGATTTAAACTTGGAATATTATCAGAAGCTCTTCGGTATCAAACCTACCGGTTGTTCAATGGAAACAGCTACAGTTCCTGTGTAGGCTGGAGGGTGTGCTGGATGAGGAGTGTAACTTGAAGGTGTTTGAATTGGGTAACTTGGTCCTGTTGGCTGACTTGTACCCTGCAATTGAAAGGAGAATATTAAAATAAAACTAAGCATTTTATGGAAATTTATAAATTTTTAGAACTATTTGTGTTACAAAGTGTATGCATTTAAAATAAAGCTGTTCAAGCAAAAAAAAAAGAAAAAAGAAATGCTTACATGATAATACACTGTAGGTGGTGGAGTAGCTGAATCAGACTTGTCCTTTTTAGGGAAATTTTATAAAAGTTGTAATCATGACGTTAAACACCTAATTTTAAGAGTCAATTTAGATAAATAAATACATACATGATAAGTAACAGCAGATCCTTCTGCAGCTGCAGATTTGTTCTTTTTACAGCAACATTTCCTTTTGCAACAGAAACAGCAACACAGCCCCAAAACAACAGCAACAACAGCAACAACAATATATGTGACCTTGTGATGTGAGACTGTGGGAACAGAGATATGAAGGCAGACATTAGTTGGAATGATGACTGATTTATTTTTTTTCAATATGAAAAATGTAAAGGTGTTATGCCTCACCATGCTCAACGTCCACATGAGCAGATAACGCCAGGTTGCCTTGTGGGTCTCGGAACTCATAAGTACCAGAATCCGAAGCTTCTACAGGGCTAATTTTAAAGCCAACACTTTGAATAATAATTCTCTCAGAGAACCTGTTAGCATCCCAGACCAAATTGCCATTTTTTATTATTGTTACTTGTTGAGCTTCTTTAGCTTCTTTATGTTCTTCATCTTCTTTAAACGTCACAGTCCAGGGTCCTCCTTTCCATGGATTTCTAATAAGAAGATTCTCGTCCACTTTTGAGTCATAGGCATGAGTGTTCTCTGTTTGACAGATTAGAGTGCAGACAGAGTAGTATGTAGTTTGTGCAAGTAAGATGGAAAGATCTTTCAGGATTCTGCGACAAAGATTCTAGTTTTACCTTTTACGGTGAGAAGTACCCTTGAATGAAGAGTGCCTTCTTTTTTTCTGAAGTTGTAGTAGCCGTTGTCTGCCTGAGTGACACCAGAGATTTCCCAGTAATTGTTCTTGATGTCTCCTTTTTTTGGCTTACTCAGAGGATTGGTTAAATTCCACAGGATTAATCTCTTATCTTCATTGTCAGGTGAAGTGTATTCCACATAGTGAGTTGTCAGAGTTAGTTGATAAGACCATTCATCCATGTAATTCTTGATAATCTCTTCAGCACAATCTGAAAATAAAAATTAATAAGTTCAACCAAACATACAAAAAACATTTCTAGAATGCCATGAGTTTTTTTTTAGAAGGTTATTCTGTTTGGAAATCTCAATCAGTGTACTAATTTTAAATGATCTTGTTAAAAAACATTTGGTGACAGATGATGGTTTCAAGATGATGGTCGAAACCTCTAATGCTTGAAGCAAAGAATGAATGACTGGCACAAGACTGTGTGCAAAAACTAGTCAGACATAACAATAATCAAAAAAGGACTAATTCGATGCGTAACTGCAGATGGATTCGAGTAAATGTCCATTTCTGGTTAAAACCCAACAGTAACATGCATCACAACTGATTCACTAATGAACGGACAACATCATACAAGCGCCTTCACACCTGAAATGACGTTCTGTCCTCAATAAAAAGATCTCACGACTGGATAGTTTTTGCCTGGTTAGGTATGTTCTACAGTAGGGGCAGCTATTACAAATGAAATTCCACCAGCACTCTTGTAATGTACAGATCAGTATAAATTAGACATCTCTGAGTTACTTTTTAAACTACTGCTATTCAACAATCCAAATTAGGTACATATGATGCATTTAAGACTCACCAAGGCCGTTCAAAATGTAGCGACTAGGATTTTAAAACATTTAAGAAAAAAAACACAGGGTCTTGCATAACTTAAAACAATACATCTTCACACACAGATAAAAGTGTATGTGCCTGACTGGTCAACTGTCAACTAAGATTTAGGTTTTATTGCAAGTGAAAGCTAATCATAAACAGGAGAATCACATGCTGAGGTTTTTTGTGGTGGCAATTTCTATTGACTGTTTATAAACTTCTAGATGAAATGTAATTAAAAACTAAATTAATGAGCCAAAGAGGTTAAATTATATCAAATAAAACTTTAAGAATCTAAAAGGTCCATTAAGTCTAATATACCGAACTAACGGGATCAGGCTCCCACCAGTGTAGAGCTTGCAAAAGAATAGCAGACACCAGGCAATTCCTCAAATACAGAGAGGCAGAAAGATTTTTTTAAATGATTCTGGGTGATCAAAGCAACTAACCAGCTTTTTTTTTTATATCTAGTTTATATAAAAGAACACAGCAGAATAATAAAATTATGAGCTGAGTCATCATTTGGCAATGCAAAGAATAGAATGAGGTTCTCACCTTTTATTTTCAATTGCACCACATCAATAATCGTATTGTCATGTGTCACTGCATAAAATCCTTCATCTTTTTTGGTTAAATCTGTCAAGGTGGTAGAAAACCTGCCAATTTTCAGTCGTGGGTCCTTTGCCTGAAAGACAGAAAACACAAAAAGGGTACTTGGGAGAAAGAACACAAACATTGCCATTCAAAGTATTTATAGCCCCTAAATCTTTCCCATCTTGTCACGCTACAACCAGAATTTTTCCCATTTGCGCTCGTTCCTTCATTGTAAAATAGCTCAGGTTCAGTCAGTCTACACACAATCGAGCAGCAATGGTTTTGATCTTTTAATACAACTAATAACAATGTGAGCATTGAGTTCACTGAACAACCTCATCATCTGCATGCACAATTATTCCCAGCCTACACCAGAACAGCAACAGGTGGTTCACCTTCCCATTCTCCATCAGTATTTTCCTCCCGCCTCCATCGCTTGGCGTGAAATACAGCGGCCCTTCTTTAATCTTTTGTTGAATGTCCGAGGAAAATTTAAGTTCCCTGCCATAGCAAATTTCTTTCTCATCTAAAGTAGCGGAGGGACCTGATGAAGGAAAAAAACGAGAACAGAAAGAGGAAATTATGAGTCTCGTGGTTAAAAAAAAAACAAAACAAGCAAGGTTAATAAAACAAAAAACAATTATGAGAATTAGTTCAAGAACGTTTGATACATTTTTCTGAATACATTGTAAACTAAAACACGTTAAATATTTTTATTTATTTATCATAATGGTTATATACAACCTTCCTGACACACCCACTACAGACACTGCAGAAAAATTATTTTTGCTGAGTCATCAGTGGATTTTTCTTTTTTTTTAATCTCAAAATATTCTGAAAAATTATCTTAAAAATGACACTTTATAATATCTTTACTAATGTCTTTACTCATTATAAATTCCCCTGTTAATTGGAAGTTCCACCAATAAAATAATTGCCTTTTTTCCTACCACTAGATGGCGCACAGGCAGGTTAGCAGGACACAATGTCCTGATCCAAGTACTTTTTAAAATGTTAAATGGATGATTTTCAGAATTATTATGAACTGTTCAAAGAACTTTGCGTGAATAACTCTTGGCCGGTGAATTAAATTTGTCTCAAATAAAAGTATATAACAATGCGGATGGATAAGTAAGCGTTTTCTCACCCCAGAGCGCACAGAAGACTGTAACCAACAGTATCAACTCGTCCTGGAGAGAAAGACGGGAAAACGAGATTCAGAGTGCACTCAACTAGTTTATTTACATGCCCCGAGGCAAGTTTTGTAACACAACAAATAAGCCTTAACAACCATTTCGTGGTGTCTTTTCAGATGGCCAGATCTTCAACAGGAGTCCAGAAGCGCCGAGCGAGACAGACGAGCAAAAACATCGGAGAACATGTCACTCCAACACATATCCCTCCGCCAAAACTCGCCCGCATGGTCCTGATCTAGTCCCAATTTTGAGCCTCGTTTTTTTTTTCTTCTTCTTTGGAAGAAGAACAATCCGTTTATAATTAGCGCACAACTGAATATTATTCATGTTAGGGTCAACATAACAAGTAATGTAAAACATAAAAATAAAGAATGTCCACTTTTCAGGAAAACCTTAATGTCTAAATTGGACATAGTTATTTTCAGCCAACCTTCATATGGTGGCAGATTTTTCAGTGAACTAAAATGAAAAACGTTAATCTTGGAAAAAAAATAAAAATACGTCAGATGCCCAGTTTTAGATGCGGCCACGCCCTGCGGAAGTTGAAAGAGGACAAAGTCACTTAGCCTATATGAATCAGTACAATTGAGCGAAAAAATGGTGCAAACTACAATTATTCCCAATCTAAAATCGCCTACAGTGGGTTATTGTGAGTGAATCTCTTCCCGCTAATTGTCAAGAAAGTGTGTGGGACAATATTTATGGCAGAAGAACCGGGCCAGTGTTCACCATCACAAGATCAGACTCCATCTGGGAAAATAACAATATGTTTTTATGACGGGCGGTGGTTGTGTCATTTTCTGAAAACAGTTAAACAGTTTCGTTATTTAATTATTTATTTATAGATTAGATTAGATTAGATTGATTCATTATTGACTTTTTTCGGATTTGTTTATATATATTTGTTGACTGTCTTCTTTTGTTAAAGTTATACATGTTTATTATCCAATACAAATTGAACAGACATAGGTGTTTTTGTTGTTGTTTTGTAAATGATTTTAAATATTCTCTTGCAGGTGCTTTATTTTGCACAGTGCTTTGATTTTTTCTAGGCTTTTAATGTTATCGGGCAAGAATCTTCATTTGTGTCTAATTTTAATATTCTGGAGAGCTTTCCGTGTCATAAAATGGATCGTCTGGGAAACGCAGAGTTCATCATCACTGTTCCCAGCGGTTACATTTTCGTTCAGGGCTGAATCTTTCGCTTTATATGTTCTATAAAATTCCCTTTCGCCTCGACTCCAAACCGCGTAGATTCAGCTTCAGGGCGTGCAGCGCGCTGAACGCACGCACTTTTTTACGCTGGCGGTGACGCGTGAAAGAAACGGAGATCACGTGGTGCTTTTGTGTAGCAGCGCGGCGTCGAGCGCCATCAGGGGGAGGGCGGCCAGTGCGCGTGCGCTCTCTGCAGACCAAGGCTATACCCGTCCTCTTCTCCTCATCCATATTAACGCTGGAATATTTCTGCGTAGGCGTTTGCATCCATCCAGGCTGCAGGTGAGCGCTGAGACACAGAGATCATTTGTTGACCGTCAGTAATCGGTGCGTTGCTTCGCTGTGACTGATGTTTGGATGAGGGGAGGGGGGGGGGACATGTTTGACACCTGAGTGCCCGTGTCTCCTAACAGATGATGGAACCCGATGAGTGACAGAGCAGGGAGATGCTCTGTGAATTTGTTTTATTTTATTTTTCTGTTGTTTGTTTCACGGGGGGAGATTGTGTGCGCAGAGAAATCCACAGAGCTTGTCTGTCAGCCCCCCTCCTCAGGCAGCTTGTTGATTGATGAAGGCATGCGGTGTTCAGACTGGTCGCTTGTTTTCAGAGCGGCGAGCGCATGGGCATGAATGACAATCATGTTTACCACCGGAACAACCCGCCTTTCGCTTGTGTTTCGCAGGACAAAATGCACCCTTGCGTCTTCTCCATCCTGCTGTTTGCCCTTCCTCCTGCTTCAGGTAACGCTGCGTTTTCGTCGTGGTGACTGAAGACCAGTTTTCGATTTGACCCTTGAAAATAAAATAAAGAATGACCGTTGTCCATTTATCATGTCAGTGTAGGTTTTTTTTTATTTGAACCGATCTAAAAAAATGTGCATTGAAATGCAGGGCTGGCTCAAAGTGAATGGGGCCCAAATCAGAACCTGATTTAAAGCCACCACAAATCCACCATGTGTAAATGAAAAGAATAGGAATTTTGTTGTTACACAGTGGAATTTTGCTCGTGAACACATGATAAACAAAACGAAACAGAAAAAGTGATGATGACCGTCTCCACAATTCACTTAACCACAGACAATGTAGAAACAGCATCAACAACAACATCCTCTGCAGTCAGGCCTTCCCTCCATAGTACTTAACTGTGTTACAATAATATATTTCTTTATTGTCAGGACGAGTCTGAAATTTGTCCTGTATCATGGCAGTATTGTCGACAATACACAAACACAAATAATCAGAATCAAACAAGCACACGTTGTATAAGTAAGGTAATCAGATGACCAGATCCCATAATTATTAATATTACATGCTTATTTTCAGGATTAACTGATGTACGCAACTTAACTATATTAAACTGTGGAACTCTGTATATTTAGCCTGCTGGTAACAGTGCGTATTAATGACTCAGAGTGTGGTCAGGATTAGAAGGGATGTTTTTGGATAATCTCACCATAATGCTGCATGTTGTGCATTTAGGATATTATGTTTTAGAACTAAGTAGCCAACTAACAATTATTCATCCCAGTCAGTGTGCATTATTGATAAAATACTGTAGATGGTCGTTTTAGAAAATGAAAAATAGATAGATAGATAGATAGATAGATAGATAGATAGATAGATAGATAGATAGATAGATAGATAGATAGATAGATAGATAGATAGATAGATAGATAGATAGATAGATATGAAAATTTTCATATGAAAGACACTTTTTTTTCTGAATAGTTATTTAAAACAAATGAAATGACAACTAATTGTTCTACACTTGGAGTCATTTTCATTATGTTTGCAAGTTTAGTCCAAAAGCTTTAAGTTGCAGTTTAACATAGATAAACTGTGAATTTTTAATGAAATGTTTTAATAAATGTATTTAACCTAATCTAAAAGATGATTTTGGTCTTTTTCCAAAACCAGAGCTTAGAAAATAAAGACTGTCTAAGAATTGCCTCTGACCTCAAGGCCAAATTATGGCTATAAATAGCATCCCTAATCTATGTGTTTTGTATGAAGTCTTCACTTTGTTATTGATGACATAACTAATAGTGTTAATAATACTCCCTACAGGGTGGGATTTATTAGGTAAGTGAGTATTTTTGTTGCTGAAAATTTTCACCTGCTGAATGCATTCTCATTCTTGTAGTTTTTTGTTTTTTTTTTCTTTCACAGGTGAAAGGGAGAAAGTTCAGACTGTGTGTGTTGGGAAGGAGTTTCGACTGCCGGTGGACTCCACATCCAGAATTGTGACGTTTACACCGGACTCTGAGGGGCCGAGACAAGTCCTGCTGGAGAAAACCACAGTGAGTGGAAGTGTGTCCCTGCTTTTCCCTGAGCTTAAGATACAAGCAGGTTAAAGTACAGCCAAAAAGTTGATCGCTTTTTCTCCATATCAGAGCTGTGCTCATACTCGTTGCTATATTCTGCCGGTCTATCTTACATGGTTAACAATCCTCTGTGGTTCTGCTTCTCCTTACTACGGAGATTTTGTAATTTCTAAACAGAAGGACTCCATTCCCAAAAGCCCAGTTAACAAATTAAGTGTGATTAACTCTTCAATTTCTCCAACAATCAAAGTTATTATAGTTAATTATTTTAATAAATTAAATATTATTTTATTTTTTTTAATTTACTTTCCCGTCTGAGAGATGTAGAGGAGCAGAGTGTTTTTGACCAGGACTGTTTTGTCTCTCTTTATCTTCAGGTGAAGGATCCACGTTTTGAGTGGACCAGAGATAAGACGTTAGTCCTGAAAGAAGCGACTCTGAGAGATCAGGGACTTTATGCCAATAAACTGTCTGTTGGCTTCACCTATGAGACCGTTCATCTGATTGTTTCAGGTGCGACAACTCTTAGCCTCGGGCTAAATGAATTCATATATATTTCATCTGGTACAAGACTCATTAATTATCAGTCACTAGTTCTTTGGATTGATATATTAAAATGTTGGATTGATTTGATGTGATATACTTATCACCAGATCTATATGTATTTCTGTATTTTAGTAAAACAGGTGTTTTTTCATTGAGCTACAGTTGTTCTTTAAGCTGACGTGCTTTCTACCTCATATCTTCAGAATGCATTAAGCCGTACCGCAGGAACTACGGGGAGACCTTTGAGCACAGCATCCCTGAAAACGGCTCTGTGTTGGAGTTCTCCCCTCGGGGTGCGCCGCCGGAGGCCAGGCCCATCGTGCTGTGGAACCGAACAAACCCTGAAACGTTGAACGCCGGACGGGGACGACTGCTGCGTGGGGGCAAGGTCTGGGTGGCAGAGAGAGTGACGCAAGCAGATCAAGGCAACTACACCATAAAAGACGATGACGGGAACGTCCTGTCTCGCAGCACCCTCTCTGTTCGCGGTGAGAGGACAAAACCAAACATAATTGGTTTTTCCTGTTTTTCTTGTTTTGTGTGTGTGTGTGTGGTAATAATCATGTTTTGTCTTTGTTCTTCCACCCTAACCCTAATGTTCTCCCATCTATTCATTTGTCATCCATTCATTCTTCTTTTACTCTGCATACCTTTCCAGGGTACTCCTTCAACATTACACGTTTCACCAAGGAGTCTCTCAACCTACCCTTGTTTCTCCCTATCCATCATGCCCATCTCATTTTTATCCCAAGTCGAAATCCAGATGAATCCTCTCTGGGTCCCTTCGACCCCAAACCTCCTCGTGGCCCCATCCAGCTGCTTCGCGAGGGCCAGATAATGGACCACGACCTGCGTTACCGAGGTATCATCTCTCTCATCCGGAACGGATCAGTACACGATGTCGTTATCACCAGGCTTACGCCAAGGAATGATGGGCTGTATGAAATCAGAGATGGGGATGGAAACATTGTGTCCTCCACCTACTTGCATATCATCGGTGAGCATTGAGTGTTTTCCCCATTTAGATATTTAAGTTTAAGCTTTTTTCCTAATTTTTCTATTTTTGTGATGCTTCCAGAAAAAAGGGCCACTTGGCGAG